GGGGAAAGGGTGTAAATTTGCACAAGTGCACCCTGTGTTCTGTCCCCACACAGAAGCATGCTCACATACTCTCTTGAACACACATAGCTCGTATGCACACTCATCCACCGCATGCTTACAGCCACACAAGAACACACAGATGCAGTACATGCATCAGCCCAAGCACAGCAGGTGTGCTCACCTGGCAGGGATCTGAGCAGAACCCTCCTCTCTGCTCTGGCCAGCTCTCTCCATCCTAGCAGGTACCTCCGGGGGAAAGAGCTGGAGAGGGGAGGGTGGAAGTCAGGCCAGGAAGCTCTGCCCACCAGCCCTTCTTGGGAGATCTTCAGGCCGCAGGCCCATGAGGGCCCACCTATCTGCCCAAGATGTCCACGGAGGAGGGTGAAAGTCCAGGGAGTGGCACTGAGGGTCAAAAGACTGAATTTATGGGCCGCCACCATCCCTTTACCCACCCAATCTTCCCAACTATTGGCAGAGCCATTCTGCTCTGAGATACCAGAGCTGCTGGCATGTGGGGCTCCAGCTGGGCTTGCAGCAGAGGCTCCCCTGAGCATCCCTGGCCTCCAGAGAACCCAACCCAGCCTCCCCCTATGAGGACAACCTGACTACTGAGGCCTGGGGTGCGAGGGGAGCGAGATGGACAAAGGGAAGGAAAGAAAGAGGAAGCAGAAAAACCACAACAGAAATGAATGAAAAGTTGAGAGGGAAAAGCAAAGAAGACAGAAAAGAACTGAAGAAAAAAAAAAAAGAGAAAGAGGAATGGACCAGAAAGGGGAGAAAGAAGAGGGACAGGAAGTCTGGAGAGAAGGGTCCACTGCCCCTGAAGACAGTCTCCCCTACTCCAGCAGCATGCCTCCTCTCCCAGCCCCGAGGACCTGACTTTCTCAGCTGCGCACAGCAGACCCATCTAGTCCACTGGAACAGGCATTTCCAGACCACTGACTTAGCCCACCCAGTCCTAGGGCCCTACCATGTCCCTTGTGTGTGGGGGGGTGCAGCCTCAACAATCCCAGACCCGGAGAAGAGACAGGCTGATGAGAGAGGAACAGTACATGGTGGGGCTGGATGTGGGAGGGAGGGGCAGAGAACTGGCTGGGGTCACTCCTAAGGCTTACCACGAACCAGACAGGGCCCTGCCTCCTCCCTGCCTGTGACCTTGAACAATTAAGCGACTTTTCTGAGCCTTCCCTCTATCAGTGGCAAAAAGCTACTGTGTGCCAGAGTGCTGCTAGGCGCTTGGAGATACAAAAACGAATGAGACAGTCATGGGTCCTGCCCAGTCACCCACCTCCAAGGTCTCTCCCAGCTGGACAAATGTTTGTCTCACTTGTATGTCACAATCTCTGCAGTGGGGCAGATACTGTTATCTGAACCCAGTGAACCCATGTGCTGACTGAAAACCCATTAAGTCTGAGACCTACCTGAGGGCACACAGCTGGACAGAGGGGAGACAGAAGCACCTACCTGGTCCTCTGCCCTTCTTTCTCTTGGCCAAAAGGAAAGCACTCTTCAGCCTCTCGGCCCCACCCTGGACTATCAGAAAGGAGACCAGCCAGCTTTTATAGAGCAATAGGTTCCAGCCCCTGAGTGTTATATGAAACACTATCTCATTAAGGAGTGTTCCTTTCCTGGAGTACTAATCAAAGCCAACAAAGGCAGGCAGCTCTGTTCAGTCAAAGTTTTGCAAGGAGGGAGAGGATGAAAACCTGCAACCTCTTCAAAGAATATGAATCTCCTGGCTCCACACCACCACTCCAGGCCCTGCCCAGGACCACCCATCCTGGGTTCACCTTGGGCCCTCCTGAGGTCCATTTGGAGCTCAGGCAGCTCAGGGTCATCTCCATACCACAGAAATGAGACCCACGCAGAGTGAGGAACACAGAGGGAGTCAGGAAGCCTTTACAGAACAGGGGTTCAGGGACAGACACTGGCAACACAGAAAGGTCATTACTACAGGTGCCCAAGCCATATGGGGCACAGGCAAGGAGGCGTGGATACATCTGCCCTGCTTCAGGGAAGCTGAGAGCACTTACTTCGACCAAATAAAGAAAGCCAAGAAAACTTCTGCTCCAGTTAAAAAAAAAAAAAAAAAAAAGGAAGTGGAAAGCCAGTATATAGAAGGAATAAAAGTAGAATTGTTAACCAGGTATAGTGGCATACACTTGCTGGGAGGCTGAGGCAGGAGGAGTGAAGTTTGAGATCAGCCTGGGCAATTTAGCAAGATCCTGTATAGAAATAAAAAATAAAAAGGGCTGGGGATATAGCTCAGTTGAAGGCCCTGGGTCTGATCCTCAGTACCACAAAAAAAAGAGAGAGAGAGAGAGAGAGAGAGACCCCTTACTCCACAGATACCATCCAGGTGAGCATTACACCCTCAGGGATGTCTTTCTTGGGCCCCAAATATGGAGAAGGCTGACATGGGACTGGAGGTAGCACTATTAAGACCAGTCAGCTCAGGGGCCTGGAGGTGCCTGGAGAGTAGTGACAGGGGCAGAAATGCCATCCGCTGAAACTGGGGTGCCCTTTTCAGGAGCTTCCCCTCTGCTGTCTGTCACACAGCTCAATGGCAAAGGGAAGCTCTGTTCTTTTGCCCTCAGAAGAGGAGGAAGCAAGGCTGGGACAGCGAAAGGCAAAGAAGACCTGAGCTGCATTTTCCGTTCATTTATGAAACAAATATTTGTTGAGCACTTATTATTTGCGAGTCATCTTCTAGGCATTAAGAATATAGCAGTGAACAAGCCAATTTCCTGGGGCTCACATAAAAATCCTCAAATATCAGAGAGGAAAATGCCTTAAAAATGTTCAACTCATTCCACACCCCAGACATGCGCCAACCGATGCTGGCATCCCCTCCATACTGTCCCTGTCAAGGTCACAACACTGCTCCAAGATCTGAGATGACAGGGAACCCCCCTTCCCCCACATTAAAATGCTCCTGAACCTGCAGTAGCACCCTAAGGACCCCGCTGCTATCTTCCCATCCTCTGTGGAATCTCGGGCAAGGGCATCAACAGAACATTAACGCACGATTAGTGCAAATTTTATTTATGTTGAAGAAAATGTGAGGCTCTGACCCTGGTTCTGTGTCAATAGCTTGGAGTCAGATGAACTGAGGAGCTCCTTTCTCACACACCCAGAGATCCCAGGGTCCCTCAGGCTCTGCCACCAACAGTCCCAGCATGGCTTCCAGCCCAGGATCCCCGACAATGGGAACCCTGCTGGCCCTACTTGTCTCCTGCCTGCCATCTCTCCACCGGATGTGAACAACCTCAAAGGAAGGGGGAGGGCTGTGGTTGCTGAGCCCGTCTGCAAGACAGAAAGGGAGCTCTTACTGGACAGAGAACGGGTCTTGGGCGGGCCCTTCTGGCCTTAAACGAGCCGGAGACGGGGCAGGAAGGAGGGCCAGGCAGCTAAGTGTCGCCTACCTGGCAGGAATCTGGGAATGCCAGTGCTGGAAGCAGCCACCGCGGTGGGTTCCCTGTGCTCGGACCCCACTAGGGCTCCACCCTTTCCCCACGTGTCCCCGTGGTTGCCGGATGAGGCCTTGGAGCCATGTGGGCGGCCGGGAGTGCCTTTCCAAAGCAATAGGAGCCAGCAGGCAGACCAGATGGAAGCAATTACCAGCGGGAAAGCCGGGAAAGCGGAAAGGTGGGGGCTGGGAGGGGCCAGCAAGGAGGGAAGCAGGGTAGAGGGAAAGAAGGGGTGAGGAGGACAACCCTGGCCTATCCAGCTGAAAGGGCTAGGAAGCCCAAGCTCAGGGTGTGAGCAGGGCAGGATGTAGGTGGTGACACAGGGAAGCCTAGGTTTGTGTTTGCCTTTGTCACTTTATCACTGTGCCCTTGGGCAAGACCCTCACACCTTTGAATCCAGGGCCTTTTTCTTTTTGATCACAGATCAGACAGGTAGGACAACCAGTTCAGGGGCACAGTGGAGCACCAGACTGAAAAGTGCAGGTTTTGGAAAAAGGCTTGGTTGTGTCTGGCTGTTTAAGAGATGTGTGACCTCGGCTCAGTGGTTAAATCTTCCCAGCCTCCACTTTTTCATTTATAAATGGGTTTAAGATGTGAGACTAATATGAAGGGATGCAAATAAGTATCTAGCACATTTTTTTTTTAAATTTCTTTAGGCTGGGCATCTAATAAGTGCTTGATGACAAAGGTAACCCTCTCTGATATCTGCTAAGTCCCTTTTCATTATGACTCTTACGCTGCTACACTGGGGAGGCTGGGCACAAGCAACGCAGCCATGGCTGCACCCTGAAGCAGGGTCCTGGGCCCAAGATGGAAACACAAAATGCACGTTGGCTCAGCCCTCTCCAATCTGGAGCCTGAACTCTTGCAGCTGCCTCCCCACTAACAAGAAAGCAAAATCCTAGAGTCCTGAGCCCTGATACAGGCCTGACTGAAGCTGCAGGTGGGAGGAAGGGACTATCCTATCTTACTGCTCCAGCTGTTTCTGGCTTCTGCAGCCCAGCCTTCCTCATAATCAAGGCCCAGGTGGGAAACTGAGGCCCTAGAAAGACCCATACCTCACCTCAGTGTGAGCAGCAGCAACCTTCTACCTGCTGGGTCAAGAGCAGAACCCAAAGCTTCCGAGTCTGGGCAATCGCACCATCCTTCTACACAGCAGCCTTGGGGTTGGGGCAGGCTGAGACAGGATGTGGGACCAACCAGGATTTAAAGAAGGCCCACACCTCTGGACATTCACCCTCTCCACCCAACATAACCGCTGTGTTCAGGCCCCTGCTGGACTCAGGATCTCCGGTTAGAAGCCCCCCACACCCCTGCACCTAGCTGAGGCTGGAGTGTCACTTGCTGCTGCTCCCACTAACTACTACATTTGGCCACTTCCTTCAAGTGCATACAGGAAGGTGGTGGGGTTAGGGGAGAGCCTGAAGCCAGGGTGGGCAGATCCTGACCAGGAGTGCTCAGTACTCTCCTGCAGAAGCACTTCTAAGAAGCGGGTGATGAAGGGCAGAGGTGGACTAAGGCTGCACTCACTCAAACTTGTCCCTGTCATTGCCTCATGACAACCAAAAGCTTTGGGTCAAGGCTCTGGTCTTGACAAGGAGGTAGGATCCTGAGGGTCCACAGGACAAGAAGCAGGCATCAGCTTGCTGCAGGGAATGTACCACATGACAACGAGTGAGAAGTCAGGAAGGGGAGCGGGTGCCAGGGCTGGGCAGGGAGCGCCCCTTCCCACCTGCCATGACCTGTGATGCCCAAATTCCACATCAGGATCATCATTTACAGGCTTGCCCTTCTCCCCATCCATGCTCTCCAAGGTCCTCTTCTCTCCCTCTCCCTCCACATCAGGCCAGGCCCTAGAACCTGGTTGCGAGCAGGTTCTGTAGAGGATCTCACCCCTTCAAAGGACAGTGCAAACCTGGAGCACTGAGAGAAGGTGTTTCCAACTCCACTGGGCAACCTCTGGAGCAGCTACTCTGAGGAGAGACCTCTCCCCCACCCCCTGACCAAGCAAGGGCAGATGGAGGGGCGCGGGATGGTTTAGAAGGGGGCTGGCCTCTCTGCTCCTCCCTGATTGGGGGTGGGAGGTCCTTTCCAGGATTTCTGACAATTCCAGAAAAGAGCAGATTCTTGGTTCTACCCAGAAAACAAATCCTAGGAGTCGGAAAAAGCTGGGAAGTGGAAGTGCTAAGGCACTGTGCTTAATTCTAAGCAGAGGGGTTGAGTCACTGCTTCGGGGAAGACAGTGCAGAAGGTGCCAGGGGCTTCCTTGGCCTGGCCCTCCACTGAAGGGGAAGGAGTTGCTGTTGCCTTTCAGCAGTGTATCACTCCCAAGGAGACCAAGCTTCTCAGCCCAGAAGTCCAAGCAGGTGACTCCTACTTTACTCCCCTTGGCCCTTCATTGAACATCAAAACTCAGGGCCTCTAGCATGCTAGGCAAAATCTCTACCAGTGAGACAAACCTCCAGCCCTAAATCTGCTTTCCTAACTTCTCTCTCATCCCCTTCTAACCACCCTTGTTACCCACCCCACCCCCAGCTCCCAGCTCTCCCTCAACTTCCTGGTGAAGTCCAGGTCCCATCAAGCAGCCCAAGATCCCCACCTGGTGCAAAAGGATAAGGCTAGGGAGCACTCAGAGTGGAAACAGAAGTGGAGCAGGAAAAAGTTTAGAGGAAGCTGGGCCACCTCAGCCTGGACAGTGTATTCCCAGATCAGCTCCCAGCAAAGCAAATCAGCTCCACAGTTCACTTCTAGGCTCCAAAAGGGTGGCACCTCCCAAGTAACCTCTCTAGAATTACAGGGCAGCTTTGGAGACTAAGAGTGTGGGAGAATTATTTCTGCGAGCCAAGACTTAAATACCTCTTCCACAGTGCAGCACTTTTGAAGTACTTAACTCAGATCAACTCATTTCAAACATGGGGGGCAGGGGCCAGGGCCTATGGAGGCAGATAGGAGGGTGGGTCTGGAGGACTGGTGTGGCACAGTGGCATGGGCTTGTGCCTCTTATGACAACACAGACTGTACCAGGCTCCTTCCCAAGGTTCCACAAAGAGTAAGACTGCGAGAACTTGGCTTCAACACTGTGCTTTCCTCCAGTTGTAGAAAGCACAGACTTGGGGGAAGGGGGCTCCAGCCTGTGGGTGGCCATGAGGTCAGACAGGGCACCCAAACACTGCCTACACCCTCAGATTTCTGGCAGCCGCCCCCTCAACCATTTTCTGGAGACCCAGTCTGAGGAACGGAGGTAGTAGCAGCAATATACATCGGGCCTCACACAGACGAGTCTCCAGCAAGGGCCATGCCTCCAGCCAAGGCCGGGAATAGAGGGGGCAGTGCTGGCAGACATGTTGGCAGCTCAGGTTGGCAGGAGGTCCCTGCCAGCAGAGGCCCCAGGGAGCAGTAGAACAGACAGAGGAGCAGGGTTCGGCACCTAGCTCTAGACCACCCGACCCCAATCCCATTCCTCCCTAAAGCCTAACACCCAGGCAGCTCCTGGCACGGTGGCATAGGCGCAAAGACCCCCACAACGTGGCCTTGGTGCCCTGGGTATACCCAGCCTCCAGCTGGCAACCCCACCTTTGGGCTCCGCGACCCTGCAACTCCTGCACTGAGAAACCTCAGCAGAACGTGTCACCTCCAGCTCACATGTCCCGACTTGGTGGGGACAGTTGTGGGGGCACCCAACGTTCAGCGGATGCTGGAGGGGGAACAGCTCTTCAGCCCAGGCACAGGGGTAGGGGTAAAAACTTTCCCGGGAAGAGGACTGTCCCGCCTGCTCGCTGCTCCAAGGAACCTAGGAGAATCGGGCTTCCCGCGAAAACCTGGTCCTGGGATAGGAACCCCGCGCAGCAGCAGTCCTCCAGGCTGTGGCCGCCCCACCCGGCCCAGAG